AGCTGAGTCCCATGTGAACTTTAATACAGGACTGTGGTGGTTTCAGTGATAACCTTTATGTACCTGTACCGACGTCTCAGATGATTGTATATCATCCAGTTTCAACTGCAGCTCCATCCTCACTTTGTTTGTCTCAGTCAGCTTCTCGTTTAGACGATTCACATCGTCTGCAAAACACACACATGTTCACACACATAGTTCACAAAAATTTACTAAAATGCCTGAAGAGAAAATGTGTTTTTATGTAAATATATCATTTTTTGAGTGTGTGGGGGTCCAGATATCTTACGTGTAAGGTTCTCCACCTCCTGTGTTCTCTTCTCCAGCAACCTCGCCAGCTCCCTCTTCTCTGCCTCAATCTCATACTTGGTCTTTGTTTGCTGTAGCCACACAGACACACACATTTTAGTTCTAAGATTTTTGTTAAACTGAAATCTCTCATTTGTGTATTAAGTGTTAAGACCCATTACTGTCAGTTACTATCTCACTATAAAAACAAAGTTGACAGAATTTGTGGGAAAGGTGTTAATTTTGGTTTCCTGCATCATACAACACTGCCTACATTTCAGAACAGCTATCAACGGGTCATTTGGTGGGAAAAATGAAAATATTATAGGTATTTGTTCATCATTTCCTCTTTAAACATACAAAAATGCCACAAGACAGATTATTTGAGTTTAGAATATAAAATGCCACTAATCCAAACCATTCACTGAAATCATTAAATTACCTTTCTTCACTCCCAACATCCCAATTCTGTTTTAGACAAACTTTTACTTTTACTCTACTCACTAATTTAAAAATGTTATAAAGTTAAACATGTACACATTTATTTATTAATAACAAAAGTTATTTTCGAGACAAAGGTCTGTGCAAAGTGGTCAAGAGAAAAATGTTAAACTAGTACTTTGAAGTGATGTATTCCATAAGCACCATCACAGCCAAAAAAAACAGGGTTCATTGTGGTTCCTCTCTACGGAGGCCGCTATGTTTTTTACAGTAGCCCAGACCGGACAATTAAACACCTTTTGAGTTTTTATGACTACTACCACAAGATTCTCCTTCATGCTTGAAAGGGGAGGGTGAGGTGAGGGGTATTCAGCTGCAACATGCAACTTCACCACTTGATCACCCTAAATCCTACACACTAAACCTTTAATGAATGCATTTGCAGGTTAACATGATGTAAGCATTATATTGACTTATTTGTTTTATATTTTATCTTATTGCATTTTCTAAATATGCTTGTAGTTAGATTTGTCAGTATTTTGTCTTGTCTTTATGTGACTGGATTAACTGTTTGTGCACTTTCGATTCTCCTGCTCGCCTTGAACTGCCCCTTGGATGAACAATTAAGTTTTGAATAGAAGTGAACTGAATACAACAGAACATCACTGACACTTTCTGGTGAGATGTTGGCATATTTTTACCTGCTGTGGTGTTTTATCTTGAAAGGTCTCTCCCTCTATTCCTTTCAGAGTACTCAGCTCTTCATCTGTACAGGAGAAACATTGAGTCAGTCAGACACAGAAGAAAAAGGAGAGAGCACAAGTCTAAGTTTGTTAAACTTTATGGTTAGAGATTAAATGAAAACAAGAAGATAACATTGCTCTCCCTTTGAATGTCCTACATTGGGTTTGACAATAAATGGCACAGACATTCAATCAAATTGGAAAAAAGATTTAAGGTTTGTAAATCGTATGCGTGTGATAACTCACTGAGTTTTTTATTTTCCTCCTTCAGGGTCTGCAAGTCTCTGGTGGCTGACAGGATCTGTTCCTGGCTCTCCAACAGTCTCTTCTCGATGTCAAAGTACTGCTGCTCTGTAGGTGTGGAGGACATTAAACGGGAATACATGAGTATGCAGAATATAAATTAAGCTCAACACTGTTTCTAACTACTGTCCATTGAAAGACCACAATTTGCAAAGAGTTGCAGAATTAAGTGATGCAGGCAGCTGTGGTTCAGGAGATACAGTGGGCCATCCACTAACCAAGGGGCGGCAGTTCAATATCAGTCTCCCCCCTTCCATGTGCCTAAGTGTCCTTGGGCAAGACACTGAATCCCATATGGTCCCTGACAGTTTTGCTGGCAGTGAATTAGTGATGTGTGAAGTGCTGCACATATATATGCACTGTATGAATCAGTTTTGTAAACTGGCACTTCTATTTCATATATGACACTGACAAACATTTAATACACATTCAGATCTCATCTAGAGGCAGCTGCAGGCTGTGAGTGGTTAGTAATGTTTCTCCTCAGCCAAACCAGGGGAAGTGTGCTGTGATACATAACGGAGCACAGATTACACTGACCACGTTTCAGTCAGAACTCGTAACTGTGAACCCATGAGAGCTGCTGTGTTGAGGAACCATTCAACCAGACTTTATTGTTAGCACATATAAAAACACCAACACACAAGTCAGTAGTGTTTTGAATGAAATGTGAAATTCAAAAACAGTCGGCATAACTCTCTTTCCCCAGTTAGCACAACATCATGGCTAAAGTTAGCCGCCTACTATTAGCTCTGAGAAACACAAAACAACATGTATGAGCTTAGACAAGAACTTCCAGTCAGTTTACAGTTTGTAGTTTATGCTGCTGTTGAGTAAACTCTTTTTTAAAAAAGCACAGCCACCCACCACTGTCTGCTTTGAAGCGCTCGTGCAGCGTCTTCAGCGCCTCGTTAGCATTCTGCAGCTCCGTCACAAACTTCTCCAGCTTGTTCTGGGCGCCTTTCGGGAGTTTGTTTAGCTCCGTCCGCTCCAGGACCTGCAGCAGCACGGCCGCCATCTCCACCTGTGGCCCCGACGAACCCAACAGAGAACCGACACCAAACTCCGGTGGAATAAACTCGGTGCTGTGTCTGTCCTGTCCCCGATTACCCGGTGACAACGCGCGAGCGTCAAGCTGCTCAAACAGGAAGACCGGATGTGCGCTCCAAGCTTTTCAAAATAAGTGTATCTGTCTTCTCGGTAATCGTCACATAAAGTCAGAGTGCTCCAGATCACCACTGATATTCAATCGTTTTGTGTTGAACTTCCATTTCCGAAAATAACGACAAACAAAAAGCCAATATAACCTCTCAAAATTTGGGGGGAAATAAATAAATATATAATAACAATTACACCATATATTGATGTAAACATCTTGATACAACCTTTTCTCTACTTTCTGTCTGCAGGCATTTCTATTTTTGTTTTCATTGTCTTGCTTGATAAATCTGATCATGTTATAATCACAAAATATCAATGTGATGTTTTATTATTATTATAAGACGTCTGTGTTGTTCCATTCACTGTGTATGCAATTTTCAATAAAAAGAAGTTTCAAGTGAAAGTCAGAACGAATCGCTATACATTGACAGGTTTCTGCTGTAAACGGTACTGTATTTAAATATATATTAAATCTAAAGTTTGAATAACAGGAAGTTTCACCACAGAAAGAAGTGCACGGCTTGTAAATCTCTTTGAAACGTAATGTGAAATGCTACTCTTTTTATTTTCAGCACGTTCATTTAGTTGCTGTTAAAAGTTAGCATGCTTAAGCACAAGTGCAATACAGGGAGTGTCTGGAATCAATACGTAGTTTTAGTGTTTTCCATTAGAAGTTTTATCTTGATATAAAATGAACAGTGCTTCGTTCGATCCTTGTCTAACTTGACTAGTTTGCCTTAACCTTAACTACGACAGAGACGTGCGACGGAAATACGTCACAGCGCAAAGCATCCTGGTACATTGTGTTTTGCCTGCTCTGCTGACGAACCACTGCTGTCAAAGTTGTTTTCTCTCTCACATTGAATCCACTGAGGTATTTCCTCCCGTTCTTAAAGAGCAGACCTGTGGGGCTGCTCTGGATTGCTGCTCTCCTCATGTGTGTGTATTAGTGATGTCAGCTAGCTACAGGAGCAGCCTGCCTGGAACCGAACCAAAGCTTTAACTGCTCTTTGCTTTTCACTCAGTCAGAAACCGTGTTGTTGTAGATAACAGGAACTATGAAGTTCTTGTCAACTCTCATTCAACCATCATCTAGCTGATTGCTGTTGTGTGACTTTGTGACAAACCAACACAGTGACATCTTTCCTCACCCTCTCAGGCAGAATGGGTCGTGGTTATCTTGTAGAAGATGCTGTGGAGAGATATCTGTCTGAACTGTGTGGACAGCCAGCTGGTCCACACACAGGACTGCTCATTGGACAGGTACGTGTTCAACCGTGCGACATTCACAGATACATGTGTCTACGCACTGTCTGTCATCAGTCAAACACATTTTGGTCGAAGTGTGACTGCGAAATACAGGACGTCAATCAATCAGATTGTATTTATGTAGCCCACATTCATAAAGTACAATTTCCCTTATAGTGCTTAACAAGGTGCAACATCTTCTGCCCTTAACCCTTAACAAGAAAGAATGATAAACTACCAAAAAACCTTTTAACAGGGAGAAAAACATAGAAGCTTCAGTTACATGTGAGGGATCCATCTCCCAGGACAGACAGAAGTGCAATAGATGCTTTGTGTAACAACCTTCATGAGAAAAGACAGTGTCTACCATAAATGGAGAGGTGTATCAAGTGGGTATATTGTATATTTTGGCAATCTAGTTGTAATTCTAATCTACCTTCAGCTGCCATTATGATGTGACTGCTCCGGTGATCCTGGATCTGCTAAGATAAAGCTCAATACCACACAAGCAGTCTATACTGTGTCTGCTCAAAGTGTAGACTGGCTAATATCATATACATGTTTATCTAAAAAAAAAGTAATTATCATGGAAACACTTTTATTTTGTTCATAAAGTGAAACTTTCATATATCCTAGATTTGTTACACGTGAAGTGAAGTATTTCAACCCATTTATGTTTTGATTTCAATGATTACAACTTACATCTCATGAAAATATTAAACCTGGAGTTAGCAATTCCATAAAGCTTGTCAGTAGACAGAATTTCATGCAAATTGCTGAATATTTCAGAGCTCAGCCCAAAGGGATTTTGTCGTCATGGCGACTCGTACACCTCATAAGCAGGAGTCTGCTGTAGCGTCTGGAGACTTCCTGGACAAGGAGTGGGTTACTGAGCACGCCCGACAGGTGGGTAAAGTTCTAACCTAACACACAACCATGTGGTCTTGTGTATTGAAGTGTTTTTTATTAATCGTGCATCCAGAATAGTTTTTTTAGAGCACACTTTATATGTTTTGTTGATGCAGTGAGCTAATACAGTCAAGGGATGATCGTAAATACGAAAAATGAGTAGTTGTAAAATACATGTATAACTCTGTGCAATAACTCCATATTAGAATTAAATATATGGAACTATTTTCCAAGAGAGGATAAATATGGTTGACAGAAGAGTTCTGGTGTTGTTATCGGTGTCTGTAGACATTTAAACCACGTGTGTCACCTGTAGTATGCATTTGCTACTGGTTTAATCTTTTTAGGTGTCCAGGATGCTGCCTGGAGGCCTGTGTGTATTGGGAGTCTTCATTATCACTGAGAGTGATAGCAAGGACACGCTAACCACACTCCGACAGGTGAGTTTCACTTAAACACAACCGCACCTGTGGCTTGCGTGTTTGTAATCAACGGTTACAACAAGTCCCTGTCGTCTGTTGAGTCCAGAGGCTTGTGTCCTGAATGATTTCCTGTTCATTCTTCTCGTCCGTCCCCTGTCCCACTCTGCTCACCTCAGTCTGCAACAAAACTGTTCCACACTTGTTGTTTTCTCCAAGCTACTCATTATTATATTCTCAGTGTACATTTTCTTTGGAAAAAGTTACAAGTGTTACTAACTAGTCTGCAGCATATTTCTGATTTGGGAAAAACTTGATTTCAGCATGTGAATGCATGACGACCGGGAAGCGTTTCACAGATCCCTCAAACAATTTCCAATTATTTTATGACTTTGTTTTTATTAATATTCTAAAATCAACTCACTAGAACAGAAGCCAGCAGTGAAGTGTATTTTATTATATTGAATTTATTCATCATAATATTTGCATTTAGGCTGACTAAGTTTCAAGTGTCTGCTTGATTTTGATAGCTTACTAAAATCAGCTCAATCCATTGGGCCCCTAGGAATAAAAGAAATTACAGCAACGCTTGCCTAAATTGGTAAATTGGTGTCAGTTGTGTAAATATACAGAACCACTGGTATGTTGCTTTTATGCTGCATTATTAGTTTTTGGCCAGTAAGGGACAGAAAAACATCAAAATCAGCTGACAGGCACAAAGCTGTCACTTATCCCTTGCTCACAAAATTGCTCTGACTCTTTATCTATCTTATCCCTGTGTCTGTGTGTGTGTATTGTCTGTGTGCAGCTGGTGTTTGCTGTTGAGAACCTGATCTCCTCAGAGCATCTGTGGACCCCTGAAGATGATGACGTCACAGACTGTGTCACACTTCACGTCAATCCCAAAACTAGAAAGTATCCTTTAGCACAGTCTTCTCACTGGATCCTGTAGCTACCAGACATTGTTTATAAATATTCTTTAACCCCTCATGTAAGGACCGTCTGCAGAACTTTTGATGTCAAAGATCCCAAGGTCAGATTTTAACTTTCATTTTTCACAAAAGCAGCATATGACATATTACCCCTATACTTTAAATAGTTAATGTCTAAGCTCTTTGAGTTCAGAATGGAGCTGAGGAGAAATGTCACTGATCTACCCACAGCAAAGACGAAAGTTTAAATGTTTATTTAATGAATAATCAACCCTTTCACAGAAACTCTCCAAAGATCCATTCTGATCATTCTGAATGGCTTCAAGATTTCCCATCTGTGTGGTTTGAGTTCTGCTGAGGACAAATCACTTGACTCAGATTAGATTCAAATTTGTGACTCAACTTTTAGTTGTTTTTACTGACCCAAGTCCCAACTTAGACATTACATTCAGATTTAGTCATGATGATCCCAGTGTGGTGTCATCAGTTATATAACTATCGTTCTCTGTTCCAGAGCATGGCCAAGCCTGCAGACTGGAAGTACCAGTCAGGTGTATGTTCCTCCTGGTCCATGGTGTCGTGTTGTCTAAATGTGGACATGTTGCTACCTCTGCCAAACGACAGAACTGGCACAGAAAACATGGATGTTTGTGTTAAGGTAAAGCATGCACGCACCACACAAGCACAATCACACATTAATCCCTTTTTAGGATTTTCTGGGGAACTGTTCTCAGGTCTGTATTTGTTGCAGGAGGGACTGAAGGCGTGGGCGGACAAGATTAAGACTGGCTTCTGTCTGTTTGATGGAAAAAAGCTACCTGAGGATACAGAGCTTACAGCAGGACAGGTTGTATCAATAAAAAAACACATAAAACTGCATGAAGTAATATATCGAGCTCGTATCTATCCAAGGACGGCTGCGAACAAAAAAAAGTTCTTGCTCAAGGGCACTTTGGCAACAATGGTTGCATTCAAATATATTATTTATGTCATTTTTATTTCTGGACTGATTATAGAGCTGCAACAATCAAAGATAACACAGCAATGGCCCAGCAAACAAATACTGAAAAGTTGTAAAGAAAGTGCTCATGTACATTTGTCACACAAATGCAGTAATTCTACAAGAGAAAGAATAACTTTTTTGTCCTCAAAACTTACGCATCTACAACTCAGACCGACCTTTAGTTTAGTTAAGTTTACTTAAAAAAAAATACAATAAAATCAATTTGAAAATTAATGAATATGAATTAACATAGATTAAGATTTCATTTCATCTGCAGAAACATGCTTGTCTTACCATACCCTACTCTACTCTAAATCATCTAAAAGAAATAAAAGATACAACTCCACTCTCCCCCTAATGTCCATCTGTCCACTACATCGCTGTAGTCTTCTTGCATGCTTTAACGTGTTTTCCATTCCTCTTGTTTTCTGTTCTTCTCATAAAGGATGTCATTGTTTGTCTTTTTTTGTAAACTGAGTTTTTTGTTTTGTTTGATTCTTCCCTATATTATTATTATTATTATTATTATTTGAATTGCTTCTGCAGACCCAATTTAACAAGGCAGAGTTGGGTCCTAATCTTGATGTCACAACTGGTTTGAGAAATATTTGAGGAAAACATATCAGTGACATGTGACAATGTCCCCATCAAAAAACATTGTTAAGATGCCTTTGAGCAGGGCAGTTAGACAGTAGTTAGAAAGAGAGATACTAAGAGTAGGGCCTCTAAGTTATTTTTCTATACACAATATACAATCTGTGCTTTTTCTGCTGTTAGAATTTTACCAATGTTTTGATGTGTCTGACATTTCACTACAGAAAAGGAATGTGAGACAGAAGTGGTCAGCTCAGCTGCTCATCACACCGGTAAGACAACACAAGATGCTTCATTCATACTGTCAGCTTCTTTACTCTCACTGGCCCTAATCAGTCCACAGCTCAAAGTTTTGTGTTGGCCATCACACTAGTAAGAGACACACAGAAATACAATCATCTAGGGTGTTTCTCAAGACCTTTACATGCAAACCACTTTTAAATATACGAGAATATTTCTATTTAATTGTTTCGTATATTGTTCTCTGTAAAATCACTGCTGATTTAGAGTGGGTGAATTAAGCGATGGTGGCTGAAATGAAGTTTACCATTGTGCATGATGTTAATAAAGGAAGATTGTGACTTCCTGTGTGTGTTAGGGTGAACGGAGGCAAACAGATGTGATCCAACAGTGTGGAGGCAGCATGTCAGTCAGGGGAACAATCCACAGCAGAGCGTATCTACACAACAATAAACCAAAGGCCAAGCTGGCTGAAAAGGTAAAGTGTTAATACATCAGATAGTATCAAATGTAGATGAAACATTCATCCTTAACATTATGAAATATTTCTCATGCACAGCTGCTCAAGAGAGATGTGATTTCTACGGTGAGCACAAGGGTTCAAATGCTCCTGGAGGAGCTGCTGACATCAGAGGAGGAGAGCAAGAGCAGCAGAGACACACAAAAGACTGGTACACACACACACACACACACA